CCGTACAGTGAATCGGCGAGTCGCTGTACAGAATCGTCCGGTTCTAGAGAGAGCCGGACGATTCCCGTTTTTTTCGCCGATTAGATCCGTCCATGGCGATTTCCGAGTCGAACAGGGCGAGTCCGGTTCGACTTGGCGTTTTTTTTAAACACTGGTCAAAAGTGAATAAACGGGTAAAATAAGAGATAAGAGGGTTAGGTGAAATATTTGAGGGTTTATTTATGCCGTTTAAAAGAAAAATGAAAGGAGCGTCAACTGAAATAAAATGGAGAATTAGGGTTTTTATGATATTTTTTCTAAATTTTTTTTGTAAAACTCAAACTTATTAAATGGACTAAAAAAAATAGGAGATTTTTTGAACTAGTTGTATTTTAACATAGACTTGCTAACTATGTGAACTATGCAGGGGCCTATTGCGCTTTGACCTATCTTCACTGCTTGTTGCCTTCCGTAGATCTAGCCAACAAAGAGGTACAAGTAATCTTAACCATCGATGTGGGGTGCCCAACAATGGAGATGAGGGTGCTACATATTCGGCATTTCCCATTCTCCCGGGACATGGGGAAAAGTTTCCATACACCAACACTGTAAGCATAATGAAAGCTATACTGCATGGGAGGCAATCACCATCAATTAATGACGACGGATAGCAGATATCAACCATAACATACGCTGGAGTTACCAAACATGCATACACAACCGGTGTATAGTGCAACTGGCCCTTCTCCGAAATGAATGTTTCACACGAATGAAATCGTGTTAAATCGTCTCCCCCGAAACCCAACCCTAAAATTCCCCTGGAACTATAAAATCACAGATCGGTGCAATACAAAAGGGTTTATAATCACTCTCTCTCTCTCTCGATCTCTCGAGGGTAGAAGCTTTCTGTCTCTGGTTTGCCCTACTTCTTTATGTTTCTCGATCTCCAGGAGTTTGTTTTCGTGGTTGATATATGTAATATCAGTTTTCCAGTGGTTTTATTTGGTGATTTTTTTGTTGCAGAGATTACCTGTTGAACTCCTTTGCCCACCATGTCTGTTTCAGAATTGGGTTGTATTTATGCTTCCTTGCTCCTCCAAGATGATGGCATCCCCATCACTGTATCCTCTAAACTTCTCTATTTCTCTGTTTGTTTTCTATGTAGGATTGAATTTTGATCTTGTTACCTCTTTCCAAGTTATTTTCAAGATTTGGATGTGTATCTCCAGTTTTGAAGGTTTTTTTTGTGGGTCTTAATTCTGGTTATGTATTTTATGTTTGGGGAGGGATCTCTTAGGCCTTGTTTCATGTTTGTTTTCTCGTAGATAATTTTTCCATTTTATGTGTATTTTCTTCCATCTTTCTAGTAGTGAGTTTATTTGCAAACCTGTTGGTATCCATTTCATGGGGTTTCTTTTCCCCTTTATGTGACGAGGTCATTTATTTTTCAGAAAATTAAGGTTTTATTAAATAATGTACATTCCGAGAAAATTGCTCTTCCTTTGTTTTATGGAAAATTTGGATCTTTACTTCAAATTAAGGATTTCTAAAGGTCCTTTAGAGGCTGCAAAAACGGCTCTCGTATTAGGCTTCCTTAAGATAATTTACAGGCCGAGAAAATCTCTGCCATCGTTAAGGCAGCCCATGTTCCTGTGGACTCTTTCTGGCCTCCTCTCTTTTCCAAGCTTTTCCAGAAGAGGACTGTTGACGATCTAATTGCGAGCGTAGGAGCTGGTATCCGCCAAATTGATATCTTTCCTCTCTTTGATGTTAAAGTGTTCAATTCCTATTTAGTTCTATATGTTTTCTTTGTGAATGATTGCAAGAATAAATACCAAAGCTTACAGGAATTGTTTCTCTTGCTCTTATAGGTGGTGGTGGTGGTGCAGCTGTTGTAGCTGCCCCAACAGCTGGTGCTGGAGCTGCTGCTGCTGCTGCTCCCCCTCCTGCTGCTGAGGAGAAAAAGGTAGCCATATAATTCTCTTGATTAAATTATTTCTTGATGGATTAGTTTTTGGAATTTTTTTGCGTTTTTGGGCTTCTTTTGGGAATTTGGTGGTTTTGTTACCCTATTTGGTAGCCCACTTGTTTATATGTTTAATTCTATTCTTCTGCAGGAGGAGCCTAAGGAGGAGAGTGACGAAGACATGGGGTTCAGCTTATTTGACTAATTTTTGATACATGCCGGAGTATTGTTAGGAATCTAGAATAGCGTCTATAGAGATATGTTATCAGGGTCCAAAATTAGGTGAAATGCTTGGCTTGTATGTGCTCTAGAGTTTACATTATCAGTGAAAAGGCGTATGCCTTTAGAAGCATTGGTTCTTGGGATTGTAGTGTTTCCTTGTTATTTTTTGCAGATATTGCACTTTGAACAAGTTTTGCATATAATTAAGCGTCTATGGATGAATGTCTTCCCTAGTAAATGAAACTAACCTTGATTTTTTTTTATTCACATTACAGTTTGCAGCTGGAATAATTGCTAGGATTGCTGCTCCCTATACATCATAGTGTATGACTTGGAGTACAAGATTTACTTATTCTAATATTGCTTTTCTTTATTTAGTATTCTACTTTTTTATTTGATTGCTTGAAATAGATGGAATGTTACTATGTTGTTCCCATGATACCTCCTACTTGAGGTTTTGGTTGAATGACTCTCTCTTTGGGAATTGGTGCATTTGTGTACACTCAGATTTCAGTTTTCTTAACATGTATGGCTGCATTGTTCAGCCTTTTCGTTGATGGTGATTGTACTGGTCTTGGATTAGTTCCAAGTAATGTTGTGTGGCAGTGATATTGTGTAACATAATCAAGTGTGAGCTTGTATATTTTGTATTTGTTGTTGTAGGTGATGGATGGTGGGGTATTAAAAAGATATTTTGTCAGCAATTAACTTACTGGTTTTTTAGTTTTCTGGGAGGATAGCTTGGGGACTATGTAGGGAGCTCCTTGTGACCATATAATACTTGACTTTGTTATGTGTTATGGAGACTTTTTGGGAGGTAATATATGCCTATGCTACGGTTTTCTGTGTACTAACGCTTCAATTTGTATAATGTTCTATGTCTCTAATTGTTTTGAAGACCATTTAAGAACTGCTCTTCTTTTTAGGTGACCTGTTGGTGTCAAAGTTGGATGGAAATTTTGATGTTTCTCTCGTTTTATGATCCATGTTTATCTTACTAGGTAATTGATATCTGTTTACTTGTTAAGCGGGTAGATTGACGTCATTCATGATGATTTTGATGCATAACCATAATGGCACACTTTTCTTCATATTATGACAAATGTGCTCATTTCATTGTAGCTGACATAGGATTTTTATGGTCCTGCTTTGGAAACCCTTCATGTGAAGTGTTTTCAAAGTTCAATTCACATCCATTCACTCATGTATTCTGTAATGAGTTATTTAATGTATAGTCTTTTAGTGATTGAAAAACGAACATATGCATTATGTAGATATTTGATATAGGTGCAACTTGAACGAATGCAATTGATGTTTCACAATGCTCAATGACGGATTTGGAGAGATCTTGTGTCTAATCCTAATTGTTCTCTGTTTCAATCTGTTCCCTTTGTCACCAACCCGCATTTGTTCATGATAGGTGCTGAAGCCTTTTAGTCAATTGAATGATAATGCTGCCCTGTGGTCTTCAAAATGGTTCCAGTATTGTAGCGCTTGCGCTTATGTCTTCCCAACTGTATTATGAAATGGAGACTTATGTCATTTGGGACATGTCTCCACTTTAGATTGATATCCTTTCATCCATTCTCCATTGTTATGAAGCTTGTGTCTCTAAATATTTATTTTGGAAAAAGTTTATATAAGGATGCAACCTTATAATGTAGAACTACGGATGCACCTCAAAAATCCGTCGGAAAAGTTAGTTTTAATGTTGAAAAACCTTTGATTGATCATCTCGACATTGAGATGTATGACCATGAAAAATAAAAAGATTTTAGGTCTCAGAAATAGTGCATTTGACAACATATTATCTACACCGTCCATTTTCAAGATTTTCATATGTTTATAGATCTATTTGATTTTAATTATTTTTGAAATTTAAAATTTTATAATTAGATATAAAAATAGATTTTGAGATAATCTTAAGAACATTTTACATCAAAATTATATACCATGTAAAATTTGAAGGTGCACATTACCTCTACAGCTACGGATGCATCCGTATACCAACTGCACCCATTTATTTTAGCAAAAGCTTCATCTTTGGAGTTGTTACATATGGAGAATTTGTTGGTTTGGGTGGGAAGCTGGGTTCTACACTTGTATGGTGGTTATCTCACATGCTCGCTTCTTGGCCTTTCCTCTCTTTTGTAGTTATATGTTAGTTATATTTTCTTCGGGATCTTGCTAATGAGCCGGTGGAGAGAAGAATCGACTTGTAGAAATCTAGTTTATGTGATAAGTGCTGGGCCAACATGGTTGATTGGTTGTGCATAGATTCAATAAAATCTATCTCATGGTTTGAGCACTCGACTAGGGTTTTGTTTGTTTGGCTGGGGAGAAGGCCTCCTACCCGATTTTCGTTGACAGTACAACGGGGATTTTCATTAACATTGCAACATATAAGTAAAGGAAAAAAAAAAGTGCCAAATGGTTGCAGCCCAAAATTTATATACTTCCTTTACAACATAAAATTTATATATTTCTTTTTATCCAACTTTCTATTCTGAATAGAGGGCTAAGATTGCTCCAATCACAGTTTTATATATTTCTTGTTATCCAATCTTCTATTTTGAATGGAGGGTTAAGATTGTTTCAATCACAATGTCATGTCTCTGCAGTATTTTATTTTTAATTTTTTTATATAAACTATTTTGACATCAAATTTTGTATGTCCAATCCTCTATTAAACTCGCACAAGCGAAAACTATAAAAACAATATTTTCAATAAAATAAAATGATCGAATACCCTTGAAAGTTTAAAGGGGTATTTTGGCTATTTTATTTTATGGAAAAATTATTTTTAATATTTTTTATAGGTGCATCCCAATGAGAAGATGGTACGTATCAAATTTTATATTCATATGATTTGTATGAAATAAAACTAAAAATAAAATACTTTGAGACATCGGATCTAAGATCAAATGGTGAGTGGTTCTCTTGATCAAATTTGGACAGCTGGATGGTAGGGGAAGCATAAATCTTTTATGTTGTAGGAAAAGTATAGAAACCTTCCCCAAAAAGATTGTTGTTTGCGGCGGAAAAGAGTGCTACTAAAGCACATGATGACCATGAACGATTGTTACGATTGTTGGAAGATTGCTACTAAAGCACATGATAACCATGAACGATTGTTGGAGGGTTAGGGGTGCGCGATACAGATTCTTCAACAGAGAGGATTTGCAAATAATTTGTGGTCCTGGGAGAGTTTTTAGTATCTTCTCCCAACTTTTGTGTCTGCCTAGTAATTGTACGGATCTATCGTTTTGAAGGATGAGGTTTGTACGAGACCGCACCCTTTAGAAGTAGGGAAAATTGAATAAAACCTTGGAAAATGGAGTTTCTAATCGATTTAGCCCCCACTTAATATTTCTTAGCAACTTTCCCCTTAAAAGTCATGTTTTTTTTAGCAAATACTCTCAATACAAAAAGTTTCAAAACAGCGGACAGTGGACACGTGGATTGCTCCTTCAAAATGGTGGACTGTTTTTTCAAACTACTGGATTGCCTATTTTTCCAATAGCATAATCCCTGGACCACCACAATAAAATGTTGGACTGTCTATTTCAACCAAATAAAATAATCGTCGACCGTCTCTTTCAAATCTCGGACCGAATCGTCGGACCACGTCAGACCGAATGTCAGACCTCCCTTTCCAGCAAAAATGATCCCTTATGTAAGGGAGAGGGAAATGATTTGTTATGTAAGGGAGAGGGAAATGATTTGTTATGTAACGTCGGACTGCCCTCTCTAGCAAAAATGATTCCTTATGTAAGGATGATTTATTATGTAAGGGAGAGGGAGTGCCCTCTCCACCGAAAATGATTCGTTAGATAACGAAAATGATTTGTTAGGTAAGGGAAATGTATTTTCGTAAAAATAAATAAAATTTTGTATTGGGGGTATTTGTTATAAAACATAATTTTGGGGGAAGTTGTTAGGAAAAGTTAGGTGGGGTAAATTGATTAGAAAGTCCATTTTGGGGGGTTTTATGCAATTTTCCCCTAAAAGTAAGGTGTACCTCGAAAAGTTTACTTGGAGATGTGGTTCAGTAATGGAAACTTTATGCTAACTAAAAAATCTATTTTTATCTGTAGTTATAAAATTTGAAGTTTCAAAAAAGTGGTACATATCAAGTAGATTTATAAGCACTTGAAAATCTTAAAAATAAACGGTCCAAATAATTTGTTACAATACGTATTATATTTAGGATTAAAATTCCTTTTTTTTTTTTTGTATCCTGACATTAATTTGAAGATTTTTGAGGTAGGCCACTTCAATAGTATAAAGTTGCAACCTTATATAAACTCTTTCCTTTAGTTGTAAAATGCGCTTTTCTAAAGAATGAATGTGCTCGTATTGTCTACGACTCTCCTATGCGATGAAAGGTGCATGCCAAGTTTGTTTTGATTTTTGGCTAACTAAGGTTGGTTAATTATGATGTAAATTTGGACATGAATCTATCTACATTTTTTTTCATGGAAAGTTATGTTCCTTGACTAGTGAGCTTGGTACTTTATAATAAATATAGACTTTTGGTGTTAATGAGAGTATACCAGAGGAGAATGGAGGAATATGACATTTTTTGTAATTTCTATCTATAAATTTATTTCTACCTAAAAAATTAAAGATATATATAAATGACCTTTCACTCGTGTTAGGCTATAGTTGAACCCCTAAAATAGTATTTTTCATTGACCCAATTTCCTTTTTCTCTTTTTCATTTGAGAAATACAATAAAATTTTAGGGTAGAATTTCTCTTAGATTTCAACCCATAGCTGATGGTGGAAATAGAATAGATTTTTTTTTTGTTTCTTCTTCACACAGGCCCATATCCGTGCTATTCTTAAAGAAATGAAGGTGAAACACCGTCTAAATTATTTTATGGATTGGAAGTCTTTGAAAAAATTCATTAAGTCCATGGGTGTTTGTATCACCTGATACTTTCCCTTGATCATTATCTCTTCTTCACGGGGTCAGGTGCTGATCTCTCCTCATCGCTATGATAAGAATTTAAAGGGTGCGGTTTGTATAGAGCCTAGACTCTAAACAATCAAATTAGAGCATACCTTCAAATAGTGTCAAGAAATGTGGTTTCAATATGGGAAATCTTTGTGATAGTCTTAAAATATAATTTCATCTTTATTTATAAAGTTTAAAGCTTCAAAAATAGTGTAGATTGACCGATCTATGAAAACTTGAAAATCTTAAAAATTAACAGTCCAAAAAATGCGTTACAAAATACATTATTTTCAAAACTTCAAATCCATTTTTTTCTCATGTCCATGCATCTTGATGTCAAGATGATCAATTTGAAGATACTTGGGTATCAAAACAACCTCCTCCAATGAAATTTTTGAGGTAGACTCAAA